GGTGGGGCGGGTGTAGGTCATCTTGCTATCTTGCCTTCCTTACAATTTGACCTGAATTTTCAAGACCCAATTTAGATTATTTTTAGAGATTTATCTTACGGAGAGAATTCATACATAGAAATATTACTTCACTATAGAATAAGAAAGCTTTGTTAGTCAGTAATAAAGAATATGTAGTTAAAAAGAAATCTTTGAATCCTTACAAGACTAGGTTTTAAGTCATTCCAATGTAATACAGTGTAGAGTGAATCAGACGCTTCTTTGCTGTTAGCAAAAATATAGACCTGGACAGACATACTTGGCCAATGCTTTTCATCTGCTAATCTAATTAATCAGTACATGAAGCAAAAAATAAAAAGCAATTAAATCGATGATTTCAAATGCAGTCACTGGTAGTAGTAGTAAGACATACAGATGTACGTGTATATGTGTGTATGTGTGAGTCAGCAAGATCTCACTGCTTTCAAACAGATTATCTAACTGAGACGGTGTTTCTGAACACCTGTATGTCAGGCTCATCTCCAGATCGAAAGCCCTTAGAATGACAGTCACATTCAAGCCACCAACGGCAGCAGCCTCTACAGGCACCGGCCCCAGCCTCTACAGCTGAGCTTTTGCTCTGGCGAAATATAAGTAACAATTTATTCAGTTATTTGGTGACTGTGATGATCTAAAGTGAAGAATCTGTAATTAATAAAATTGTTTTTAACCTGAGTGAGTCTGGGGTTGTTCCCTTCCCAATACTGGAAAGAGAACCTAGAGTTATGCAGAGACCTATGGGAGGGGCCTTGGTGCTTCCTGATGGTCACAGGGCTACAACCTGGAGGGTCGTTCGAACCACAGTTCGAACCACAGAATGGACTTGGAGCCTGCAAAGTAGCACTGAATGGCAGGTCAGGAGAGGCTGAGTGCTGGTCAGTCCCAGGGCATTTCATGCCCTCTACAGAAGGGCCCGGCCTACATGCGAGAGGAGTGGCCATGGGGAGGGGGGTGTGCACTCCCACGCAAGGTGTGACAAGTAAGAAGGAGAGTGACACAGGGCTGCAGAGAGAAGCTCAGTGCAAACCAGGGGTATAGGCAGTACGCACAGCAATTTGTAGGGTAAGTGACTTGTGTTTGTCTGTAATTGTTTGAAAATTTTAAAGCAATCCACAGATGAAAAGAATATTAAAAATTATTTTTAAAAATACTATCTCTTACAAAAGTCCATTTATATTTTTCAGGAAAATATTTCATTCCCGAAAAAGGATTCCCTAATAGGTACAAATAAATTAAATACATGGTAAGTGAAAAACACAAGTATTCTTCCTTTCATTCCCTAACAGAAGTTGTTTCTCTTTAAGACAACAAAATCACTTCGGAATCTACCGGAAGCTAGGAGTGCAAATGCAAACAAATTCACAAATCCATACAGTATCACGTGACTACAATCTAAAATTACTTCAGACAAGCTGTGATGCTGATCAAATCTGTAGTACTGGCACCGGGTATTTTTCTAAAAATCTATTTTCACTGCAAACAGAACAGAGCCCCCGAAACAAGCCTTGGCAAAGCACCTCTCTGTGTGTGCTCCTTCGGTGACAGTGCCACATGCTCTCATGGAGTCACACTGCAGGCGGCCACCAGGCACCAGGAAAAAGCTCACGCTGCAGTTTTCCGAGAGACAGGTATTTAAACTGTGCTCACTCCAGACCTGACTCCGTGCGGAAACTTCTGTACGGACACCTGGCTTCCAGTTACACTTAAAGAGTCGCCACGGAGGCAAGTTCCAATTAGTTTGATTCCCTTTGCAAATCCAGAACCTTTGCACACAAGGACACCAGGACTAGAGGGGCTGGGAGACGCTACCCGGACTTGCTTCCTGCCGGGCAGAGGCTCTGAGCTGAGGATCTTCACGATCACGCCGCTCACGAACTGTGGCCCGGTCGCAGCGGCTCTCTCCCGTGGGCCACATTCCCCAGCGCCGGCTGTGGGTGTGGGAAGGAAAAGACCAGAAGTCAGCCTCTTACCTGAGCAGTAGGAGTTTTAGGCTGATTTAACAATTAATTTAAAAATTAATTAATATCAAAAGAATTCAAACAAAAAGGGTTACGTTGTATGTCACAGTAATTATTTCAGGTTACAGTAAAGTAAAATGCAGGAAGTTTATTGCTCTAAATACAAATTTCTTATTAGGTGTACATTTAAAACCTTTAAATGCTCTTTTCCTTGAATCAAAGACAAAGAACTTGGATAAAGCAAAGGAAGAAACAGATAGAGGATTGTGTGAACAAGCCAGTTAGATCAAGAGTCTCCTGAACTGTGCAAATTTAGGGTACAATGTAAATCTCTCTAGGGCAAGGGTTTGGGTTAGGCCCTCCTGGAGACTCCTTCTACCTGGCTCCTGTTCACACTGCAGAGTGCAGTTACAGTGTTTCCAGCAGGCTCACTCCACCCTCAGAGCCATCACTAAATCTGACCAATAATAAAAACCAGGAAAAATTAATGTCATTAAAAATGGTACCGTTTAAAATGATCCCTAAGCTATTCCTTTATCAAGGATAAGTAGCACCTAGACAAATTTTACAAATCAATAATTGTTCTAAAAAATCCTGCATAATTAAAATTTAAAAGTTAAAGTTTACCCAGCAACCCAGAAGTAAAATGTCAGCGTAAGAGTACACTAGTAATGACACTACACAAAGAATCACGGGGTGATCCTTACTTTTCTCATTTTTCACTCCAGATGCCTTAGGTGCTCCACTGTCTGTTTCCATTTCTGACTCCAATTTTATCTGGGCTATTGTTTTTTTTAAAGAAGCCATGCTGGCTTTTTGCAGTGCTAAGTACTCTTTTTTCAGATCCATCCACTCACACCTGTGAAGGAAAGAAGCGACCTTTAGGAAAGGGTACAGACAAAGGGTACAGACGGCTGCTCCGCGCACACAGCTCTGAGTTCGACCCCCCAAGGACCCACACTCCAGGCACTTCTGGGCTCTGACCCAGCCTGCGGGCAAACAAGGAAGCACCACAAGTTAAATTTGTCAATTAAATCCTTAACTTCCAATTATTTTACGTAGGAAATCTTAGAATTAATTCTAAGATTAAGTTAACTAGTAACATTTACCAGGTTAGTCATCTGGGGAAAAAAAGATTAAAACTTTAAAAGTATTTGTAAAGCTGCTTCCAATCTGAAAGATAACATTCCTTAGTATTTACCTGAGTCAGAAGGAATCTCTAACAAGAAAAAGACACCCCAAGGAAGCAATTTATTTATTTACATACATTTAACATGGAGATGTTTCTTCAAACAGCACGGGCACCTCCAGACCGACACAAGCCAGCCTGGCTCTGTGGGGTGCCCATTGTTACCCTAATCCCTGCCATCCAGAAGCACAGGGGCCTTTCTAAGGAGCTGAGGTCCCCTGGTAATTGTGTTAGCTGTTCACATTGACATCTGTATACCTCACAAAAAAGTATCGAGACCCACCCAGGGTCATACATTCCCTAAGAGCTGATACATTGAAATAACAAAAGGCTCCTGTAATGATTCTCAGAGATAAAGAGCAGAGGAATTCGGGAGCTGAGAAGCATATAAATACCAAGGCTGCAGGCCTCGCACCCCTCAGGAGACTCTCCAGGATCCTTGGGAGTGGTGCAGGAAGGTAAAGAAATCTCTCTCTCCTATCTAGGCCTTTTTCTGGCTTCTATTCGGGTTTGGCTGAAGGAAGAGTAGCCTTGTGTGGCTGGACTCCCTTTGACTTTAACATGGAGGTACTCTCTGTGCCTTTTTAGAAAGAGTAAGTGCTTCCATGTTTTAGTGGAAGTGGTTCCAATTTGTCCCCAAGCAGGAAGTGGCTGGCCTGCCATGGCCAGCGGCGGCGGGGCCCCCTCTGCTTTAACATGGGAGTACCTGCTGTGTGTAACAGAAGTAAGTGCTTCCATGTTTCAGTGGAGGTGTCTCCCAGTCAACGGCTTCAGTTTTGTTTTTGGTAAAACTTCTGAACTGCGGGTGTTTACTACAAAGACTGGGCTCCCCACCACTTAAACGTGGGAGTACTTGCTTTATAACGGGGAAAGTAAGTGCTTCCATGTTTTGGTGATGGTAAGTCTTGCTGGCGTAGCCTCTGCAAAGGTCTTCACCACTCAGGGCCTCTCTACACCCCCGAGGGAGACCTGCGCTGTGACACGATCGTAGAGCCTCCCGTGTCCGAGCGCGTGGCTCCGTCCTTGCCCTGCTGCAGGCCGTCACTGTTGCTAGTGTGCAACTCTGGGGACACGGGCTGGAATTGCACTTTAGCAATGGTGACGGAGTGCCGCTGAGCTCTGCAGACGGAGCGCACCGTGCACTTACTTGGACAGCACACGTAATGGAATGACCTCCTCGCCCATCCTGTGTCTCTCCTTGTGCTTCTTCTTGTGCTTCCTCTTTGTTTTTAAGAGAGAACCTTCTTTAGTGTCGCCAGGATCCTTCTCCTCTTCGGTGGAGACCTCTACGTCTAGAGGAGAAAGGGTATGGGTAGTCATGAGCTGGAGTAACCTGTCTGTAACCCCACCCGGAGGTCACACAGGAGTGACTGTCTCACCGCACTCAAAGGCCACAAACCTCTGCTTTCCTTGGACACCTCTGCAGCTTCTCGTGCAGTGTCCTTCGGAGCCACTTTCTTCGCTTTTGGCCGGGGAGCCAGGCCCACTGCGTCCGTTGAGCTGCTTCTCCTCCTCTTGGCTGCCCTGGCCTCGGGTAAGCTGGAAACTTCAGGTCTCTCCCGCTTCTTCTTTTTTTTTGAGGGTTGCTTTT